AATCATTCCCCCACATGCCCCAACAATTACGCGTTGCAAGTCTTTTAACAGTTTCGGCAGTTCGATGCAAAACGAAACTGCAAAATAGAAGGAGAATTTGAGTTACCAATTAGTTTCAGTGTGGCGCCAAACGAATGACTTTGGTAGCTGAACTGTCTCACCTGTGACCTCACAGCTATGTCAGCTGTCACAAAACACCGTCGGAACTGTTAAAGGTAAATGTTAGGAGTTTACCGGTAATCTGGGAAATAACGGTACAAGCAGCTTAAACTATTCAGTTTCTACAGAAGACAGAACATTTCATCCCGAAGTGTCTCTTACCATCAGTTGGAAGCTTAACAGATTGTTGATGGTCAATTTAGAAGCGTGAAACCGATACTCTGTGAAATAAGATTGTATCATTGAGTTTGTACAATGTCTAGAAGGGATATTTCTCCCCTGAGTATGAGCTATTAGTCTACAGCTGTGTGGCCGAACGTTCCTTTTGTTGGCCAATTTGACTGATCCAAAAAGTAGTCTGAAACATAGACTCATAAGCAAATTTCAGTTTCTACAATGTCTGAACATTTCCTCCTGAAGATCCCCAGCCACCTAGAGCTGTGTAGCCGATCAATGGAAAGTAAATTGAGGATATTGAGGTTACCAACTGACACAGTGACTTCAGTTATGTAACAATGAGTCAAGCAGTGGATCTGCAAGCTGAGCAGGTTTGCAGTTGCCTCACATATACGGAACCGCCTCAGATTTATCTCGGTTCGTCGACTCCAGCCTAGTTAGTGGTTCGACTCGCATTCTACAGTTTATATAAACTGTTAAACACCAGTCCAACCTGTTCGACCAATTAGTTTGACCTTGAAGAGTCTTCGATTTTTAGTGTGTTGCACCAACCGCATTTTCACCTGTTTTGAAATTGATTGGTTTCAAGAGGCACCAAGACTTGGTTTGAATAATCTGTTTACAATGTATAGTTGATATCCTATATTGTGGTGTACTTAACTATACATCGACACTAGCATTCCCAAAAATATGGAATTGTTCCAAAACTCAAATTTACTCCAAATTCAAGTTACAGTAACAATTTTGCAAAAACTATATATAAAAGATCTGTCAATAATGTTAGAAACGTAGAATAAAGAATCAGTTGAACTCGACTAGGCCGTTGATATAATTATTATCAAGTGTCAACGATGTAGAATATTGAACGATATGCAATATTATCTTGGCGGATAATTCTGTTCGTCTGTGAAATTGAATTCATAAAACAATGGGTTTAGTGTTATCCGCTGTTTACTGTATTGTCGGCCTAACGGGGAAAGGGAAAACGGTGCAGATTGTGTAAAACCTTGTAGTTTATAGCTTGAAATCACTGCTAACGACTCTTAAAAATTTTTTAGAACTGGAATTAATTTGTGTGGACTCTCTTATCCATAAACTATAGGTGGAGTAGCTATTACTCTTCATGAGTAGTAAGTAATTAAAACAGTTAATATGAAATTTGTACCATCGTAGAGTCATAAAAAAGGCTTTAGACTGAGATTGAAATAAAATTGGAATAAGCATATTTTTACTTTTTCAGAGAGAAAAAAGTTAAAAATAATTTCACAATAGAAAAGATCAAACTAATTTGTTAAATAAAGTTTCTTTAGTTTGTTAGAAATAAATTGTAAATAATTACTTTTCATTTCTTGCAATTCTCCTTAAAACAACATAACGTCTAATTTTTCTTTACCAAAATTGTCAAAATACTTCTGAAAGTCAATGTGAACATATCCACAAAAAAGACAAACCGTTAGTAATTTTATATATTTTCAAACACATCTTGTTATTTTTTATTTACGAACTATCCTAACTAAATCAGATTACAGGACGAACAAAGAGTAGTACTTCATTAGGGTGTACATTGCAGACTAACACAGTTCATTTGCGAGGGAGAATTTGGCGGGACTGGTGGTGTTTGTAGAAGTTACACCGTGTGGTCGCAATACCAATGAGTAACGCACGTGAGGCAAGATTACCTTGAACCAACCGACATGACGAGCCTCATAAATAGGCATGGCATATAGGAGACATGGTGAGACCCATCATACATAGGACAGGTGATTTCGAGCCATATTAACTGACACGCATAAAGAACATATGGACCGACTTATCTTGCAATACTTAGGCTATATGATTCATGTCTAGACCCATTGATTGACAAACATACAGAACATATGGACCGATTCATCTTACAATAAATACATGAGTAAGTGACATTGTAGAAATGTGTAAGCCTCAACATGAGTTATGGTAAGCCTCATTTACACACATACATGAAGACTATATGACCAGGCTCAACTTACATTAAATACATTAGTTATGCCGGGACCCAATAATTGACATACATGGAGACTATATAACCAGACTCATCTTACATTAAAAATAAGACTAGAGTTAGTAGATGGAGGAAGAATCATGTTGTACGCTGGAGCAAATTAACATTTTAGTTAACATATTTTCATTACAGTATTTCAATGAGCGGTCTAATGGGGAATCGATAGATTAAAACCTTAAATTTTTATTTATGGGTCTAGGATTTATTCCTATGGTGGATCTAGTCAATGAACAAGATTTTTTAAAGAGTGCACAAGCGAACCGAAAGTCCTTACACAAGTAAGTATTAAATATAGATACTCTATTGGAATGTTTCTGTTGTGTAAAAATATTATATGGGTTTGATTTCTGGATATCACAGACATTTCTTTTTTACGAAACAATGTTTAAGTACTGCTAACATGTGACTAACGACTATGACTGCTATACTACGACTGCTCTGCGTTGTAGTAAATTAAAACGAAGCTTTTCGGAGTAGCTTTGTTATAAAACAAAGTCAAATAAATTTACAGGTAACAAATATTGCCATTGAGTTTGATTTTTATTTGGTTAAAGCTTTGTGTAATCGTAAATACTGCATTCAAACATACAATCATTAGCTAAGTGAATTGTTAAATACCAACAGTTCTCTGCCCACATTTCATGTTAATCCATGTGTTTCGCCTGAAATAAAATACAACTTGTTTTGGCCGTGTAAAGATCGACAGTATTTTACACAAAAGGTAAAAGGAATTTTACACATTTATAAATATTCGCTTTGGATTTCAGGATAAAGTAACATAAATAGATAATAAAATCCAATCTTCTGATATTTAATGACTGAAATGTTTTGGATCGCTGATTGCTTTCTGAGGTTGGCTGTGAAAATCAATGATGCATTTTCATAGCGTATTTGCACTTGCAATTGTTTAATCAAAAAATTCAATCAGTTTTATATGCATTCTTCATTGTAGGCTACATGAAACATCAAGTTTTACTTTTTCTAAACGAAACACTGTACTGTCAGTACCGTTCTTTTACGCCGGTTATGTTAGTGCAGCAACCTGCAACGTAGGTACGTCCAGTTGTCACATTTATAAATAATCAGGCTCCAATGGAGCTATGAGTTTTGTTATACAGTACAAGATAGAATTCAATGTTGTGCTAGATCTTTTCACATAATGAGCTCGTAATAATGGATTCTGTTAGTTTTTTTAATATTCTATTTATTATATCTTATTTTAATACATTTAATAAGAAAATAAGGCTACTGTGAGGCATTTTAATCAGTGTGTATATTGTTATTTTGTTTTGTTTGTTGGTAATTACTTTTTTTATGTTATTTCCCAATTTACTTAAAAGTTGAGAAACTAAATGTTTTTAGCACGGTAACTGTGTTTACCTCCATGCGTTGCACCACGTTAATCTCAGCCACATTGTGTTTCTTGGAGCATGATATTCATTGACGTGCATGTCACAGCGTGTCATTCATAGAATTGAATGTGTTCGTTGAAGCATGATCCTCATTGATTTGTTTGCTGCAGCATGGTACACTCAGAATTTTTTTGTGTTTGTTGGAACATGATTTTCATTGACGCGTATGTCACAGCGTGTCATTCATAGAATTTTTTGTGTTCGTTGAAACATGTTACTCATGGATTTGTTTGTTGCAGCATGTTAATGTCAGACATTTTTTTGTTTGTTGGAGCATGACATTCATTTTGCCGTGCATGTCATAGCGTGTCATTCACAGAATTGCTTGTGTTCGTTGAAGCATGATCCTCATTGATTTGTTGGCTGCAGCATGTTAATCTCAGACATTTTGTGTTTATTGAAGTATGACAGTAGTTGACGTGTATGTCACAGCGTGTCATTCATAGAATTGCTTGTGTTCGTTGAAGCATGGTCCTCATTGATTTGTTTGCTGCAGCATGTTAATCTCAGCCATGTTGTGTTTGTTGGAGCATGATTTTCATTGACGCGTATGTCACAGCGTGTCACTGATAGAATTGCTTGTGTTCGTTGAAGCATGATCCTTATTGATTTGTTTGCTGCAGCATGTTAATCTCAGCCATTTTGTATTTGTTGAAGCATGACAGCCGTTGATGTGTATGTCACAGCGTGTCATTCATAGAATTGCTTGTGTTCGTTGAAGCATGGTCCTCATTGATTTGTTTGCAGCATGTTAATGTCAGACTTGTTTGTGTTTGTTGGAGCATGAGATTCATATTGACGTGCATGTCACAGCGTGTCATTCACAGAATTGCTTGTGTTCGTTGAAGCATGATCCTCATTGATTTGTTTGCTGCAGCATGGTACACTCAGACTTTTTTGTGTTTGGTGGAGCATGATATCATTGAAAATTGGATAGAAGATAACAGAAGTTGTTGTATTAATAGTCAAAGATGATATCCATTGGTACGTATGTCACAATGTTTCATTCATCATATTGTTTGTGTTTGTTGCAGCTTGTTAGTATCAAACCTTTTTGTGTTTGCTGGAGCATGTCATTGACGCGCATGTCACAACGCGTCAATCGCAAAATCATTTGTGTTTGTTGCAGCATAGTACACTCAGACTTTTTTGTGTTTGTTGGAGCATGGCAGTCTTTGACATGTCATTCATTATATTGTTTGTGTTTGTTGCAGCGTGGTACACTCCAGCATGTAGTCGTAACGATCCCAATCTCAATGACTGCGTGGTCAAACACGGTCAGCAGGCTATACCGCACTTCATCAACGGTAAGTGTATACAGTATACACAATATCACAGATTATATATAATCATATACATATGACGTAAATCAATACATTTACTATATTGAATAATCGTTTCAGTTTTCAGACAACAATGCTTCAGTTCAATTTAGAACTTTTCTAGAACTTAATGAGTTTTCAACTCGATTCAAATATTAGTTTACTCTGCGGGAATGTTTAATTGATTTACGTGTGGGGTTTTTATCAGAATTTTAATTAAAATGATATTTTGAGCTCTGTGAGTTTGTCTTTAGTGATAAAATTACCTTACCAATCGATCTTGGAAATATAAAAATAAATGAGGAAAACAATTTTCAATAATTTAAATGCATTTATAGGCTTTAATTTTAACAAAGGTGAAAAACTAAGTAACGAATAATAAATAATTTAACCAAGGTGTAAACACGGCCATCTATCAAATAGGCCCTTTCTTGATGTAGGTCTTAAGCCAATACTTCATTTAGGCTACGTGTGAACTGTATTCTTTTATGAAGGTGATCCGCTATCTGTTTGATTACTTTAATTTGGTTTACTACAATTGACAAACATCGAGACCAAATTCCAAATGTCTTTAAACCCACCATTTGAACGAAAACCCACCAAATATTTTGTTGTTCCGCCATTTTGTTATGATTGATCATGATCAAATTGAGGTGATATTTTAAAATGTATCATGCTTGTCGTAGCTGTGTATATTCAATTTTGTATCGTGTTCCATCGTATGGTACATAAATTCACGATAACAACCTCTTCGTAGGACACCCTGTATATTGTATTCCTATCTATCCCAGCCCTAACATAACCCTGTACATGTTGCAGGAGACCCTAAGTACCGGGTGCCCAAGCTGGACCCTCTAGTGATTGACCAGCTGGCTGTGAGGCAAGGCACGAGGCAGGTCGGCATCAACCTCATGGTCAGAGAGTGCAAGATCTACGGCCTCAAGAATGCACAGTTCATCGCTGCAAGGTACCCTCCATATCTTCCATTGTGGGCTTACATGCTACATAGCTGGAATGATTAGCATATTCATCCATGGAACTATTTGACTAAGTTATTGAGTATATTACAGTCGTGTTCTATTCGTGGTACTCTGGATTGCGATGCCAAGTGATGGATTATTATAAGAGGAATAAATCCAATTTTCTGTAGATTTATTGTGACATGGAATTAATAATCCATTGATGCTTTAAACCGTCCAAGTAAAAAGTGCCCAAGAACGGCTGATAGGATTCTTATTCTTACCAAGCACTGTTATTGATTGGATCTCATAGACTGTTTTTTTCCTCACAACGATTGTACTTGATTATTTGCAATTACCTAATCATCTCCATCTTTTAAAGTCTTTACCAAATTAGTCTGCCAGGGAAAAATTCCTGATGGTTTCACAAGGAATTATTTCACTTCCAATTTCTATATATTGGATCAAGTGATGATCTTCTATCAGAAATATGATTAACCTCTTTCTCTAGTGTATGAATAGCATTTTTCAAATATAGGAAATCTAGTAAATCCTACTATTGTTGTGATTTATCAGTATTCTCATGTAACTATGTATTCTCATGTTATTGCTAGCTGAGCATTCTTGGAGTGAGTTGTACACTTACTGAGGATCATTCCAGCACCTTACGAATTCAAATTCCATTAAGAACATGAAACTGAAAAATAAAGCAACATCTTTTTGACAGAAGCACAGCAATTAGTTCTCTGATTTAGTTTAGGGATTGAACTGCAGAAATGGATGCATTCTAATTTACAATTTTTTTCAGAACGGACTTGAAAAAGAGACACATCGAGTGGGACTTCAAGTTTCCCTCGGTTTTCATCCGAGGCATCTACAACATCACTGGCCAGGTCCTGATCCTGCCAATCATGGGAAACGGACACGCCAACATCACAATCAGTAGCTACATTACTATACCTTTTTTATTTTACTTCTATAATCTTAATCTAAATAATGATAAGAAAACATTGTTTGGTTGGTCTTGGTACTAAAAATCCATGACGTTATTCTTTATTGAGGATGACAATGTCTGTTTTAACGAAAAATGATGAATTCAAATAAGTTTTGATGTTAAACCCTCATGCTTTCTTATTTTCGGTCAAATTTGAGGATTATACCACACAATTTAATTTTTAGTTTTATTCTTTAAAAGTAGAAATCTGACAATGTAGCGAATAATGTAGATTTATAATGTAATTGTGTAATCGTGTCATCGCATTTGAAAAATTTATTTAGATTCTTGACTATTGTTGTGTCGGGTGGCAAATGAAAAGAATATCATAAATCAGGAACAAGTAGTTGCATAGCTAAAGTTTTGGGTTGTTCGCGTCGTGTTGGATCGTGGAATTAGTAAATTTAAATAAAATAAAATCCAATCGAATAGCCTTAATAGCCCAAAATTCAGGGTGTGTTATAATTCTTTCCACCTATGTGTCAATCAAATGGTTCTTTACCTACAAACACGTTAATATGAATTCAAGAAAGCTAATTTAAACTAGTATTGTGAAAGTGAATGTCATTTAGACTAAAACTTAAGCTGTTCCCGTTTAGTCACATTACACTTAAGCTTATTTCTCTCAGGAATCAGTTTCCAAATTAATTTCCATTAGTGTAATTTCAAAATGTATCCGCAGGTACGGTTGGCAATTAGAAAAGGATACCGAAGGATTTCATTTAAAAATATATACTAGATTAAGGGATTAGTGAAAACTAATCTATTTATTTTAATTTAACAAATTATAGGCTACATAGCCCAGATTACATAAATAATAATAATTAATATGTGTCAACTTTCCTCAATGTACCTTTTACATTTTAGGTCGCTTATATGCATAATATTGGCAAGGCATTAGTCCAAACCAATCTAATGGTTATGTTGTTTAAGGAATTGCGGAAGCTTCAATTTAATGTAAATACACCCAAGTTACACCCAAGTTTTGATATGTTTCGTGATCTGAAATGTGACCCCATATTGAGGCGGAGATGAACCTAAACATGAAGAGATACCGGTAATCGTAGAAACTGAAAACCACAAATATGCTTAGAGTAGTTAGAAAGCAAAACTATCAATCGAAACTGTCCAGTTAAAATGAAATCACAAAAGGTGAACTCAAGCTCAACCATACTCTTTCCCACCTGAAGATCGGGTCAGATTTCAGATGCTGAAACGAATTGAAACCCAAGCCTCATATGTGATGTTAAAATTTGAAGCAAAAAACGTAGAACAATCTGTTGAGATGGTCAACCAACCAATGACAATATTTTGTGTCAAGTGATGAACAAATCAGCTTTTTGCCACGGTACTGCATCGATTGTAATTAATATTCAGCCCGATACACTAGTACCCTCTGGTGAGATGGTCCTGAATTTCATAAATTTTCATGGATTCAAATTTTTACATTAAATGGGAAGTCCATGATTTTACTAAATCAGTTATGGAAATATTTCATTTTATGTCATCCACAATGAACTTGGAACGAAAAACTATTACGATGCAAAACTTGTTACCTAGCAACCTTATCTCGTATTAAATCTCATACAGTAGGCCTAGAGTGTTGCATTGAGAACGACGGGTCATCTCTTCATTATACTGTTCCATTAGCTAATATGACGAGAAAACGCCGCTTGGGTCATGATTTAATTTGCTGTTTGAATTCATCAACATATCTGCATGCTGTATCAGCAGCTGATATCATTTCCTGCACATGGCTATCATCTGAGTTGCAAAACATTCATTGTTGATGATATTTAGATATTGAAGGAATCATAAGTATAAATTGTGTAAAATGGTTTATAGGTTCTATTGATGAACGTTATAAAAAACTGGTCAATAGTTTACAAATTTTATTAGAGTTATTTTAACACTATACCGAACTATTTCAGTTATTTTGTTTATTTGAGTTCAAAATAAGGTGTGACTTTTTAATCTTGAAAACACTCAACTAAAAAAAATCCTCCACTCAGTACAAACATAAACCATAGGTCTATTTACGTTGCCTTATCGACCCAATTCTCTGCCCCAAAGCTTTAAGCGTTGTGAATTGGTGCTCTGGGAACAATTTATTGATTTGATCCCTTATGAATGGAAATACAGCTACACTATTTACTCTTTTTACTTCCCTTGAATATTAAAAACTACACATTCGTATTACAAATAAAATATTAAGAATAAACTTTTATTTATCTTAGATACCTTTGGTTTCAGAGGGGTCGCCGGAATTTTATCCCCCTGGAATTTTACCCCCTGGGCAAAGCTGACGTCACTATGACGTAGTAACCTGAGTGGCAAAAAGTTTGTTCGCGGCCGGAATTTTACCCCCGCGGATTTGGAAGTCTAATGAAAATAGTCAGAGCGTGATTAATTAGATTAGCGAAAAAACCGGAATTTTACCCCCTGTCCATATAACTAGCGTTTAGGGAACTAAAGATGTACGGGCCGGATTTTTACCCCCGGAATTTTACCCCCTGGCTGATTTTAGAAATTGAATGATTGATTTTCTTTTCTGTTTTTAATTAATTGTAAACATTTCATTATTTAGTAGCCTATCTTTATTTATTTATTTTGTAATCTCAACTAAGTAAACAGAATTCGCTGTTTTATTTTGATTATATTAACCAACAGTTGGCTTCAAAGATCGAATCCTGACACTCGAATCTCAAAATTAATATTAAAACCCTGTTCGAATAGTTAATGTTACATATAAATTAAGATAGGCTACTTAATAATAAAATGTTTACCATTAAATTAAAACTGAATGACGATAATTAATCATTCTCACTAATTTATATCTGGCCAGGGGTAAAATTCCGGGGGGTAAAATTCCGGGGGGTAAAATTCCGGGGGTAAAATTCCGGGGGTAAAAATCCGGGGGGTAAAATTCCGGGGTAAAATTCCGGGGTAAAATTCCGGGGGTAAAATCCGGGCCGTACATTCTAGGTTTTTATAATTTGATGTGTTCTGATTAAACTCACAACCGTGAAAATATATGTTTAATTCCGCGTTTAATCCATCGAGCTGATGTCGCGAAACTGAAAAGTTCGCGCCCGGAATTTTACCATAGATTAAACGAGTATGTTTAATCTATGATTTTACCCCCTGGTTTGTGACATCACGTTTGCCCAGGGGGTAAAATTCCAGGGGGATAAAAATCCGCTACCCCTTTCAGAGACCACAAGTTATGTTTATGATCCGTACGTAGGCCTATATGAGTCTGATAACATGAGAGTTTTCCTAAAGATTTTTCATAGGATAAAAGTAATTGGTGAAGCTATTACTATACAAATTGAAGGAGCACGGACATTAAAGTAAAGAAAAATATTGAGCGTAACCATCACCTAACACCGTACCTTTCAGGATTTAACAAAATAAATGTATTTTGTATGCAAACTTAACACTAGCGAAAATTGATATTAGTTGAAGAAACCTACTATAGTTGAATACTTAAAACTATAGATACTAACGCAGCAATGATCATTAAGACGTTAATGTGGTCTTAAACAACATACGAATGTTACAGATGATCTGACGATAACATACAAGTATGACTGGGTTCTGAACAAGAAAGGATCCAAACACTACATGAACTTTACCAAGAGTAGTCTGGACTTTGACATCGGGGGAGCATCATTCTACCTGGAAAACCTCTTCAATGGGGACAAACTGTTAGGTAAGTTGATCAATTCTGAATTCTTCTAACTCTTCCTTTTTAACAACGATAAAACATAGATTAAGCATAGTATGCTTAATTGATGGATAAACTGTAAGTTGAGTGAGTGGAGAGCGAGCTGGTCTGGTGGTAGGGCGTGGGATTTCGGTCTCGAGGTCCCAGGTTTAAATCCCGCCCATCACCACTAGATTTTGTCCAAGTGATAATGCCACAACCAGTGTCCTAACCTAGAGTAATGTGATACAAAAAACTAAGAGCTTCGTTTAAAATATTCCATAAGTTAACTTATGAAACTAAAACACATTTTTAATATTAGAGAATACAAAAATACATATTTCATGTTAAAAGGTAAATGTTAAGTAAAATATTAGAACTTTAAAATGATCTGGTTTACTAAATATGGTTCTACTTTAATTGAGCACCTGTTGGTTAATAAAGAATGGTGAAAATATTGTTAAATTATGGTTTGTTAATGTAAATCCCCATTAGAAATATTTTGAAATAAATTTAAGAGCAATGAGAGTGTTGTTAGTATTTTGGCAATAAGTTTGTTAAGGTAAATAATCAACAGGGGTTAGAAAATATTGGCAACAAGTAAATATCAGAAAGTCGAATAAAATTAAAAATACATCTCTCTTTGTAGGTTATAATATCACAACTCTATTTTTAAAGAGTTCAATAGCAAGACATGCTATCTCTCTCCATTATTGCGATTCCCAGCTATGATGGAAATAATTAATAATTAAGAATTGGATTAAGAAAAATTTTCTATCAACCCCTTTCACCACATCTCACAACCATTATTTTATAGGTGAAAACATGAACTACTTCCTCAACCAAAACTGGCGAGAAGTGACCAAAGAGCTCGGGCCGGCTATAGGAGAAGCTATAGGCGAGGTGTTCCGACTACTACTGACTAACATCGCAGACCTGGTACCTTACGAGTACATCTACCCTGACACACCCGCCAATACTACATCCACCACCACGAGCAAACCAGAGAAGGGGCCTTGATGACGTGCTGCGCATAGGAACGAAACGTTGTGTGTACAGGACTGTGGGACTTACAGACCTGACGATGGAAAGAATAAATAGACAGATTAGAATGCATTTTGTGAGAGAAGAGACAAGACCAAAAAGAGCTCTCTAATATAATTTTTCATTGTACTTTAAGGGGGAAAAGTATTTATATACATTTTTCGTCCTATGTCATAAGAAATTAATAATTGTAAATTTAGGAAGATTTTATTTATGATACCAAAATGGTTATATCTTCAATTTGAAACAATTTTTTAACAGCCAACATTATATCGGTAAATTATTTTTGTGAATTCAGTAATGAAAAATTATCATAAAGTCTACTTTGAAATTATCAGTAATGACAAATCCTGGTTGAGCAGAAGGAAATTGTAAAAAATAAAACATTACCACGTTTTATTTTTTCGATTTCCTTATTTTATGTATTCCAGGGTTCCTCTAAAGTATTGGACAAAACTTAAATAAGGTTTGATATAAAATTAGGTTCTGCAACTACTGTATACGCTATTGGCAATTCAATAAAGGTAGTGCAATAGCCGGCAGAGCAGCTTAGCGTCCAAGTGAAAATGTTTTATTCATGCGTTTCCATTATACATTAGTGACTCTACAAATTCTTTTAACTTTAATATGTTCAGTGAATTCCAAGATTTAATGTTTTAGAGTCCTAAAGAGGATTTTCCTTTTCACATTACTTGTCTTTACATTTAACTTTTATCATTGGTTATGATTCTTAAAAAAGAGGCTAGCATTTTTGTAGACATTTTCATAAACCTCCGGATAATATTAGATGGAGGAAATAATAATGATGCCAAGAATTATCACTTGCAAATCATTGAACAAGAAGTCATTGTACTCACGTGTGTTTTTTCAAGGTCAACCTTGACTATCATTATGACTTGGTACAACGTATTCATCATTATGTACGTATTCAAAGTAGACACTTCCGCATTCTTTTGCACCTCAGCTTAAATACTTTTATTATATTTAGTTGCTAATGTTGAATCAAACTAAAACACGAGCTATTCAACGCTTATAAACTGAGTTCCAAAGGAAATAGATAAGTTAAATAATGCATAGTTGCATTAACAATACTAATCTGGTTTGAGAAAAAAATACATAAAATATAACTATTTTTTATTTTTTTTTATTTACGGCTAAGAGTAATAAATATTTGTCGATTGTTGCAAGGCATTAATGTTCCACTTTCATCAGCTGTATAATATCATGAAATCTTATTGTACAGTAAGCTTTATTGTATTTATGTAAGGTATGTATATTTTACGAATAGTGTTAGAGTAAACTAGGATAATATGTGCTGTAAATGTATTTTCTATGAATATACTTATACCACAAATAATTGTGTTTGAAGGGTAAAATTTTGTGTATCCCTTAATTCTCGTTATTATTGATCTGTTTAGTGGAGAAAGATTGTACATGGAAGTTGTTTCTTTTCCAGCTAAAAAATTTGATCCAGCTAAACCTTAATGGGCCACACAACTTAGTTAACTTTTGAAATATAATATTAAAATGACATTTGGAGGAGTGGATGAGTATTTTTACGACTCTTTGTAGAAAGCCTAACACAATTAATCCTCCTTTTTAGCCTTACATTATTAAAAATTTGCTTAAATAGTTAGTAACTAACTTTTGATCTATGGTTTCAGATTCTACACAAAAGCTGCGTTTTCAGTTCCACTTTCAATATCTAATAGTTTTTTCATACATCCATCTAGGCGGTAGGATTTTTGCACACATGGGTAAGATTTTTTACAAGAAAATAATACTTCTGTTTTTAATTTGGAAAAATTGACTTACTTTCTCACTCACAAAAGTTTAAGGACCGTAATACATAGGAAAAAACAGAAATATAAAAGCAATCACTGCTAAAGATATTAAATGCAGCAATTTAATTCTAAGAACTGTAGTTTGTTCCAGACAATAAATTAAGAGTATTCTGATTTAAAATACACATTTTGGGCAGAAGGAATGCCAGTCTCCTTGTTTCAAAAGTAATTTTATAGACAGTAGCTAACATTTTAATTAGTATGATTTTGTACACTACGTGCATTTCATTGGTGAACATTCATGCGAACATAATTCTTGTAATCGATTTGTTCGTTCTTATTTTCCCGAATAAATCAACTACCCAAATGCATGTCCTAGTATGCACTTATCAATACATTATAACAAAGCCATTTCAAAGATTTTTTCTTCAGGTAGGATCGTCCTAGGATAAACCTCAGAGTCTCTGAGGATAAACAATTAAATCTCATAACCAATTAGTGAACATTCCTCAAGGACCCTTATACACTAAAGAAAAAGGCACACAGATAACAAGTTACAAAAAACAAAAAATATATTTAACACTTAAATGTTTAGGGGTATGTACAGGAAGGGTAGGCAACTATTCACTGACATCGTCGTCCTCTGGAAGCCAAAACTTTGTGGGGATTCGTCCAAAGGCATCGTTCATAATCTTCTTGAAGACTTCCGTCAGTGCGTCTCCGACGTTGTCCTTCAGTTCGTCTACCACCTCCATAGCGTTCTTGTTGAGGAAATTGTTGACCGTGTGTCCTACATACATGCGTAGAGATTAGAGAAGATAAAGAATAATTGATAGGAGGCGATTATACGTTATTACATAAACTACATGATACTAGTTGGACTCAGTTCTTTACAGATCCTACTCTTGTCAGAATTTAGTTGCATACCTATATTGTTAAACCATATATTCATATGTTTGCCAGTCTGCTGTGCAAACAAACAAACAGTTCAAACATGGTCTACGAACAATAAAAAACAAAGAGGACCAAATATGAGTAATCCAAAAGAATTCCGTAGATTGTAAAGCAATATTTATGTCACTACATTTTAGATTTTTTAGTGTGCTGCCAACTACTTTTTTTTAAGTTAAAGTGCCTGCCACAAACCGCCGTAGAAATATTAAGAAATCTTTGTTCAAAAAAAGAAAAAAAATGTAAATTATTTGTTTGTTAGCCTTATATTGTATCAATTGGACCTCACCGACAAGTTTTATAAACTTGGTGAGGCCAAGCTGTTGTAAGTTTCATAATAAATATATTTGTATTTGTATTTGTATTTGTATTTGTATTTGTATTTGTATATGTCTCCCATTCTTCTCGTACAGATTTTTAATTCTAAGAATCGTGATCTACATTTTTAAATTTAGCTGTTCTCAAAACACCTAACTTTTTAATCAACTGGAAAACCTTTAAATTTCAACAAACAAAATCCAAAACCACATGGTAGATCACAATAAGTTTACTAAAATTAAAAATCCGCACAAGAGACACAACTTAATAAAAGACATAAGTTAATAATATTATTGTCTCAAAACTTAAAAGAATATTGATGGTTTTGAAAATTAATACACATTATAAACCTCGATTGAAGATATATTAAACCCTAAAACCGACGTACCTATTAAAAAAATAACGTGTTCTAATGTATTTTCTTTCAGATCCATGAGTATTTGGATCAGAGTTCGTTCCATGGAAAGGGATTACAGTTTTAATAAATGTATGGTTATTAAATAATATTTTTCCTGAATCTATAAATAGTCAAAGAAAAATACCTAGCTACCTAAACACCTATGCAGTCGATTAAGTAACAACAAAGCAGAACAGAAAACAACTAATCGAAAACCAATAACAAAGTGTTAAGCTAAATGCAGTAGTTTCCACCGTGATATTTTTACATTACATTTTAACATGTAAATGTACTTTCGTTTGAAGTTAGTTTATAAATATTCAATGATTCAAACAAGTATTCATTAGTTACAAACTAGATACAGTATTTACATTCTGTTCTAGAAAGGCGTTGAGCGTCAACTACTCACTAAACTAAGCCGAATTGGTTATTGCATGGGTGGAGCTCGAACAAATCCTATACTGTATCTTGTTAATTAACTATTGCAGTGGAAACTGGGTCGGGTAAACGCGTTCTGGGTATTAACACAAATTTGAAAGAGCTTATAAATTAATATTCCAGCAATTTTGAAGCTTACATTGGCGTTAAATGATGATTGAGCGTTCAGTGATTATTTTAATATCTAGGAACGAATTTCAAGAATATAATACGCTATTGGAACTCCACGAAGTGTAAAATGGATATTAAGGTAAATTGGAAATAATTTCAAACCTTTGTTGTAGTTCGCTCACACAATCTCTACGATGTTATAAACTAATTATTCTGGATATTAAATTGTTATCTTTAATTTATTCTGCATGTCAAATATTGTTTAGTTAATATTTTAGAAGTGTTTGTTAAGTTTAACCTGTAGCACCTTTTTATTGACAAAATATAAGAATATATTGAACAGAATATATTCAAAAAGACCTACCAAAATTGTAACTTTGTAAAATAATTTTCTTCTATTATTGGGCTTGGTATACAGCTTTACAGCTTTCACTTTAGCTTATTCGTTTTATTATATCTGAAGTAGGTACAAAAGTAGTTCACGTTACAAATATTTGTACTATGAATATTCGTTGGAGTTTTCATACTCATTTAATTTGTGTTCTGCATCAAATCCTAACTATCTCTGAATTCCTGGATTCCCCTTCGAACTGTTCACACCCTCTCCAGCAAATTGTTTTGTTCGGTATTATTTGGTGTTTAGTTAGGTAGTCAAACATTTCCAAATTTCTCAGACCACTTACATTATTACTTCTTAATACCGGAATTAATTATCTCAGTGTTATCTGAAACTACCCCTTAAACTTTAAAATTCACGTCTACTTTCGTTGGCGACTTAATTTGATGAGAACACAAATTTCCTGTTCTAAGAGAAGTTTGCTGTTTACTCGCCCGCACCATAAAGTTCGTAATTCATTAACAGCTGTTTGTAAACATTGAATGTCTTTCAGTCAAGCTGGCTGTAATGCTTTACTACTTGCTAAATCAAATTCCAGTCAACACACTGTTTGAATAATTCATCCCCACGATTGTTCGATCCCGTGTGTATGTACTGTGTCTGCTATGTACCTTGAAATAAATAAAGCTGGTACAGCTGACTAATAATATAAACATTGCATACTCCTGTCAATATTTCGTACTACTGATTGTTGAAAAAACGCAGGAGTAGTGAGAAAGTAACTCCAATTAATTCTGATACATTTTGTAAATTTAAAACTGAAAATCCATATCTTTTGTCTAAGTTTAAACAACAATTTTAAAGTATAGAGATAATTAATATCTTCCCAGAACATGATATATGATTTAATTACCCAGTTTTTTGTTGTCTAGGCCAGTCGAATTTTTTCAGAGGAGAAGAGAGAGTGTTAGTCAAATGCTTTAAGGGAAAACTTTATGTGATTTGGGTTTGGAACATGATTTTAAAGCATCTTCAGAAACGTTACATATAAACGTGTAGTCTCGGTTTGGCTTAAAGAGCATAGGAAGTTAATTTTCTTTAGTGTCAACGGTTTGTTAAGTATTGGCAAATTTACCGTCTGATCAGGAACAAGTTGCAATGGAATGTGATTCTGCGCCAAATTTTATATAACTCTTTCGCATCTAAATGTATGTATCTTGGTTGGTTGCGAAACTGGGTATATTTTACTGTGCTTACCGAGAACTTTGTTTCCGTTGAAGAGGTTGTCCAGATGGACTCTCACGTTGGACATTCGGAAGTCCACCTTCATATCAGTTACGGCCATGACCTCCTGCCCTGTAGGAAGCTTGGGGAACACCACCTTCATGTAGACATCAGTTGTCACGTTCCCTAAATATCATTAAGTTAGTAGGATCGTATATTATAAAAATTAAAATTAAAATTTCTTTTCACACATAAGGGTATGAAGATAACTAAAAGTAAATATGGTTTCCGTTGGATTTTTGGACCGAGCATGTTCATGTACTGACCTGTACCTTAAATACACACTTTTAAGATCCCTGAAGCTTATGTGTTTATTGGATTAAAAAATACGAAGTGAACGTACAAACAGTAATTTAGACTTAGTTAAAAAGCGTGTACACTTTTGAAATACTATTGTATACGAATATGGACAGTCTAAGTTAGTCATTATCATAACATTATGTAGGCTTACACAGACAAATAAGTGAAAACACGTTTTAAAAAATTATCATGTGATACATTTATTTATTGCAAAGGCTGACGTAAACTAAACAAAAATATATCGTAAAAAAATCTTGAAGTGGTGAAAAAGGTTTTCTGTTTGCAAAGCGTTGGACTACGGTTCAGTTCATACTTGTTCATATTAATACTCATCATCATACTGTCATCATCTTGTCCCTACTAAAATTCAACAATAGGTAAATTCTGGTTGGGTTGAATACACCTTAATCGTTGTAAAATCA